TAGAGAAGAAAAACTATAATATTTATCATAATTTAACTTAATTAACAGTTATATATATATGTAAAGGGTATATATAACTTCTAACTTGTTTTAAGTAATTCTTTTAACTTATAAAACAAGTTAAGCACTTTTATGTTGAAGCCAATTTCTAAATTTGAAGCTTCAAGAACACAATACTTCATTGTCATATACGGAGTTGTACCTTATTTCTAAATATTTTATGTTCACATTCGTTGATTTGACTCATTTGGAAAATAAAATTTATTTGAAAAAGATTTATATAATAGGCTTAGAGATAATTATGCTCTGGCTATCAAACAGGAAATGAGGTTTCCAAATTTGGATTGTTACATTTATTTATCCCTTGGTCTTAACTAATAATTTTAATTGGTAAATATTAAATTTGTAGCGTAAAATAAAGTATTTTCTCATATTTGAAAAAAAAAAAATACGATACAATAATTTATTTTTAAAAATTAAATGAATTTCTGTAGTTAAAAATACATAATTATATGATTAGATTGAAAATGGTAAAATAATAAGCGGCTAAATCAGTTAAAATGGAATGTTATTTGCAAAATTATTAGGTAGGCCAATGGGTGGACCAATGTTGTTTAAGAAAGAAAGGGCAAAATTTTTTAGGGTCGTTTGTAAGAAAATTTTCAAGACAAGGAAAGAAAATAATAGCGGACCGACAGAGAAGAATTGAATAATAATTTTTATACATATATGAAGAGTTTCCGACTCCTCCATGATGACATATAATAAGGTAAGTACACTCTTTTTTTTAAAATTAAAAAAAAAATCTATTTAAAAACGTTTCTTTTTTCTTCTCTCCAAATGAAAATAATCAATAAAAAATTAACGTTATCTATCAAATTAAATTTAATATATATACAAATTTAATTTATTATATATATTATATATAATATATTTATATATTAATATATATATATATAAATACAATAACAACGACCTATTATGTTTTTAGTTTCAAATTGGTTAAAGTCAGCTATATATAATTCCTTTGTTTTCAATATCCGCATTTTGATAAAATGAACATCGATGCAAAGCAAAGTATACAACAGAAAAAATTTTGAAATACTTTTTACAAAAGAAATTTTTGAAGTGAAATTTTAAAATAATTTGATACTTTAATAAATAAAACAAAGTATAAAATATGCAATAACTATTTTGGGTATACTATATGAATTTCTTTTCTCTTAGTTTGTTCTGTTTATAGTTGTATCCTTATTAATATCCAAAGAACACAGACCTTCGTGACAACTCTCCAAATAGTTTTAGATTGAATTCTTTTTCCTTTTTAACACCCTGTAAAATCAAAGTATTACATTTACGAACTGAGATATATGGAAGTTAATTGATGATACCATGGCGAACGTCTTTCATTTTATTTTCGTTATCTTATTATTGTGTTCATGGTTAAAATTAAACCTATTTATAAATCAGGACGGATCGCGAGAGTTTATAGAAACTTTGATATTTTCCAAGTCAAATCCCAAAATAGAAATATCTAATTATAACACTATCATATTTCTATCAAAATTCAAATAAGTTTGAGTATATGTAAAGATTTATTGGCTCGGTTGTAGTTTTTTAATTTTTCTTGAACATGATTAATTAATAAAATATATAAGATTATTTTGCTGATAAAAAAAACATATTTCTATCGAATATACATATTTCCTATCGAAATATACTATATAATATATATATATATATATATATATATATATTTATATAATATATATATATTATTTATATATATTATAGTGGATGGATTGAAGAGAAATATATGCGCTTCAAAAATATATAAATGATCAATTAAGCACAACATAAATTATAATCAAATTTTTTCAAGATAAACTTTCAGAAAACATACCCAGTATATCCCATGAAAAAGAATACTTTCGTTTATTTTACAGATCAACATCTTGTAGATCAGTTATACGTACAGTATGGTTTAGAATCGATTAGAAAGACAAGAATCATCCAATACCACTTTATCATTTAGGGTTCGTGCAAATTTGCCAATAATCTTTCATTTAATGATATTTATTCAATTATTATTCTCTTGTCATACAATTATTATTTCAAAACAAATAACCAAATAACAGAACCATCATAATTTTTTTTGCTTTTCTGAAATAGATAATTTAAGCCAGTTATATATATATAGATGGATGGATGAAGAGAATATATGCGCTTCAAAATATATAAAATGATCAAATTAAGCACAAAACATAAATAATAATCAAATTTTCAAGATAAACTTTCAGAAAACATACACACGTATATCCCACTGAAAAAGAATACTTTCGTTTATACAATCAACATCTTGTAGAATACAGTTATACGTACAGTATGGTTTTAGAATCATTAGAAGGGACAAGAATCATCCATACCACTTTATCAATTAGGGTTGCAAAATTGCAATAATTCATTTAATGTATTTATTCAATTTTATTCTCTTGTCATACAATTATTATTCAAAAACAAATAACCAAAATAACAGAAACATCATCATAATTTTTTTTGCTTTTCTGAAAATAATAATTAAGCCAGTTATATAATTATTATTTTTGAGGATACATATATATCTAATTTCAAGAAAATAACAAAAATGAAATGGCCTACCCCATATGTTGTTTTATGAATGAAGACCATACATTTATACAATTCAGTTATTGGAAAAGATGGGTCTTCTACACTTTCAATCTAAAGCATATCTTCTGAGTTTGATATTATTAATTATATTCTACCTCAATCAATCAAATATATTGTTTATATCTTCCCCATTTGACATTATTAATGGCTTACAAGTTGCTTGCTTGAATTTTTTTTTTTCAATTGTTTTTGCTGGTCTGGTTCTTATTGATTAGGTTTCTAATAATTAAGAGTTTCTGACATGTATATATACTTTTGTTGCGAGAGTAATGCTAGATCAGAAAGTGGAATTAGTCTTAGCTTTTTTGTTGGTACATTAGAAACCCTAGTTCTCTTTTCTAGCATACAAGAAATCTATATTAAAGGGATTAGGGTTTCTAGCTAGAATTTAATTTCAATAAAGTAGATAGATAAAATCATTTAATTACTGCTAGATTAGTAATTAATGTTTCCCTCTAATTATTTAATTAGCCACTATTGAATGACAAGTCTTATTATCTAATGAGATGGATGCATAAATTTCATAACAAGTTAAAACACAATAAATTGCTTTTGTCCTTACTGTGATGGCCCTAGACTTCTAGAGGCTTTATTACCATGTTAAGTTTATTCGGTAAAATTAACTATTTTGGTGGCTGTTAGCAGTTTTAGTAGCGTTTAGTTGTTAGCTGTTTTAGTAGCGTTTCGTAAAATGTTAAAAGCTTAATGTTATATGAATTAACTTTTTATAAAATGATACGTTAATATCTAAAAACTAGTTCAAATGTCATATTACTGAATACTATAAAAAATAGCATTTAACGTTTTGACTAGTCAAAAAGTTAAATCTACTTAAAAAGTTGTTGTGGAATACAATCATTAATTAACTGTAGTGAGTACAGTAATTATCGGAAGCCCTGCTCCACTTTGGTTATTTTTTATTGGTAGAGATGGGTGAAAGATATAGGAAAGGGAGAGCATATTGGAGTATTTAAAATAGACAGCCACCTGAATTTCACCAAGTGAATGCTACATTGAACTAATTAATTAGTAACATCCAAATCTCTTAATTGAACTATAACTGTCTCTGAACACGTTTTTCTAACATTTTTTTGTTATTTTCCCAAGTAGAAATCAAGAGAACCACATGCTAGCTAGGTCCCCCCTAATCAGTAAATTATTACTACATATATGACATGTTTTTTTCCTGTATGTCCTCAATATTCATTCATGTTTATGTATTTTCTTACCACAATATACTGTGCTATGCCTATGTCTTTTCAGTTTCGAGATTATTTTTGTTTTAGGGTTTGCAAATGTTCCTCTCTCTATGAGTGTTTTCTTTTAACAGATTGAATTCTTAATTTTACAGAAATCGTTTGCAGAATTTATGTATATCTTATCTTTTGTGTCGCGCTTTATGGGTTAATATAAGGTTAATTTGGATAATTGAAGCTAATTTTTTCATAATTTTATATTGTTGTATCTTATGATTCTTGGTTGGTATCCTATATGCTATATTCTTATTTGGATTTTTGCATAATTTGACTAATAGAATGTCATTGAGACTTCAACGATTCAATCATTTATTTAATACATATAAAACCTTACCAATTTTAATAGCATTCGCCTACAACACTCTATTCTATATATATATATTCCTTCTTATATTTAAAACTATGTTGTATATGCATTTACCATTATACTGTATGCAAATTGAAATTCAATATTTACGTTTGTATTACATCGCTCATTTATATTAGTATTTTTCCTAGATTTAAAAAAAGTTTATAAATAAAAAAATGTTTATGGTATTCTAAAAATAGAAAAGATCAAATCTAGTCAATTTAGAAAAATGCACGAAACCCAATCCATAAACACCAAACTAAAAAAAAGATTTGAAAAAAAAAGAGAAAATAAATTAGTTAAGAGAGATAATGAGAATCCCATGCAAGTGGGTACGTACGTATAAAATGGAAGCAAGCAATGTGGTCTGGTTTTCCTGTTTATAGTACACTTCCATTTGCCGTTCATTTGTTAGCTACCGGCCATTTCTTATGGCATTCGCTAGGAGAGGGAGACTGGCTGTACTGTAATTTGTAACGTTGTCTGTAGGGAGGTGGTCCAGATTAAAACACTTGTAGTGACGTGGATTGATCGTTACCATTGCAATTACCTTAGTCGTTCACTAGTTGGACTTGCTGGTGGACCCATCGCCGTGCTTAACCAGACACGTCAGGCCCACCCCTCGTTCCGTATACTATTGTCTCTTCATTTCTCTCTCTCTCTTTCTTTCACCTCTTCATGTGCTACGTGACAGACTTCTTCTATTATAATCCCTCCAAATTCCTCCCTTTCGTCTCCACCATTATTCTCCTCTCCTTCTTCCATTTCTCTCTTTCTAAAACACCCTTCTTCCTCACCACCTTCCTTCTTTCTTCCCATGGTTTCGCTCTTTCTATCATGCCTTCCCCGCCTAACTTCTCCTTCTCTCTACTTAGGTATATACCATACACTTCTCCCTCTTCTCTACTTCTATTTTCTGTTTCTATTTTCTTTCTTTTGGTTAATCTATGGCTGCTATCTCATTTTGGAATTCAGTTCTCAAGACAATTCTAATGTTATGTTTTGTTTGGTTTATGAATCCACACCATATGTGGTGTCTTATGCCAGTAAAACTAATACACATTCGTAACTCTAAATTTTAAATTTCTAACCTTAGAATAACATTACTTCACGTTTTAAATTCTCAACCTTGTAAATAAAATTAGTCTGGAACCACTCCAACTAATCCAACCTTTTTACACTTGTAGTTTCAAATTCCTGACGTTATAAATAAAACTAGCATGGAATACAGTACACTTGAGCTAATTCGATTTCCTGATGATAACAACTCAACCTTATCTTATCGTATTGAATCCGAACTTCGAAGCAAAGCTGATAGAATTTAAATAATGCATAACATCAACTTGATTAATAAATAAAAATAAAAATGATTTGCTTATGTGTTCATTATTCTAATGAATATACGATATATATTTTTTTTTTCCAGGTGGATTGGATTGCTTTGCCAAAAGAAGGGTGAGAGTGAGAGCGGTGATAATAGCGGGCGGGGAGAAAACAACAACAGCATCGTTGACGACAATTCCGTACCGAACAACACCGTAGAATGTTACGCCTGCACACAAGTCGGTGTTCCGGTCTTTCACTCCACCAGTTGCGACCATGCTCACCAGCCCGAATGGGTCGCATCCGCCGGTTCATATCTTGTTCCTATCCAAAGCCGAACCGGCCCCAAGAAATGCCCCTCAACCCAAACCCACTCGCGGTTACCCACTGGACCCTTTGGAACCGTACTCGACCCGCGTAGTAAGCGCGTGCAGAAATGGAACCGCGCGTTCCTTCTTGCTCGTGGAATGGCTTTGGCCATTGATCCACTTTTCTTCTACTCGTTATCAATTGGGAGAGGCGGGGCCCCTTGCTTGTACATGGATGGTTGGTTAGCCGCAATCGTCACCGTCCTTCGCACGTGTGTAGACGCTATACATTTGTGCCACCTGTGGTTGCAGTTCAGGTTGGCGTACGTGTCGAGAGAGTCATTGGTTATTGGGTGCGGGAAACTCGTGTGGGACGCACGTTCTATCGCATCACACTACGTGCGTTCTCTGAAAGGTTTCTGGTTCGATGCTTTTGTCATACTGCCAGTCCCTCAGGTTAGTTAACTTAACTTTAAGTAACAAATTACTGCAACAGCTCACAATTAAGGTAAAAAGTAATTATTGTTTGTCTTGGAGTTTGTGTTTTGCCCAGTCATCATTTGCCACGTAAGCCACTTTACAGCAGGGAAAATTATCATTGATTTTGTTCCGGCCCAAAATTACACGTATGCAAAGTAACCGTCCGGCGTCTTTAATATTTTTAATTTTTAACTATTTTTAGTGTTAATTTATTTTTTTAGTACCTATTTATAAAAATAAAATTCTCAACTTTATTAGTGTTAAATCACACGTCTTGTTTTTTTTTTTTTGGCTTCTTTAACAATATTTTTTAAGATCATTTAAATATATATATTTTTTTTTTGGCTTCTTTAACAATATTCTTTTAGATATTAATTATATAATATATATATATATTATTATTTATGATATAAATTTTATGATATAAAAAATGAAAAATGAGAGATTATAACGTTCCAGTAGGAGAAATAATCATAGATATAGTAACGGCTACGTTAGGTCCTAGGATGGGAAGTAACGGCCTAAATCATGGAGGAAAACTAACTGATGCAATGGAAAGCAAAAAACCATTTCTGCAAACATGGAGGAAAGCTTCTGCAATCATTTGTTTAACTGTAAAGAAGAAAGGAAATTATTTTAAAAAGGAAAACATAAAAATTCCACACATATTATTGTTATTCACGTGTGGATCACTACAGTTAGATTCTTTATTTTTACTTTCTTGAGAAACTGTATTCTTTTAATTATATATATAAAAAAAAAGTATACTTTGAGTGGTTCTCGATCCGTACAGAACTTCTCGAAAGGCGGGAAATGACATATTAAATCCTGGATGGGAATATGATTAGACTGATTTTAGAAAAACCCCCGATAAGGTTAACTGCCTGTGCTGATGTGATAGCTATTATGTGTTGGTTTTGTTTGGTTATAGATTTTAGATGCTTTCTTTCAATGTTTACAAAATGGTCAGATGGGTATCTTCAGATATTATTTTCTCAATAAACTGTTAAATAACAATTAGTGATCGATAATTTCTTACCATATGATTTTTTTTTTTTAAATGAAAAATTATGATATACCCAGCTTACAAAGTTAATCTTTTATCAAATGTGGTTAAATGTTTCGAAATTTTATTATTTCATTAATTAATTAGTGGTTTTGCAGGCTGTGTTCTGGTTAGTTCTTCCCAAATTGATTAGAGAAGAGCAAATTAAGCTGATAATGACTATACTTCTCATAATCTTCATGTTTCAATTCCTCCCTAAAGTCTATCATTGCATATACTTGATGAGGAAAATGCAAAAGGTCACAGGATACATCTTTGGTACAATTTGGTGGGGTTTTGGCCTTAATCTCATTGCCTACTTCATTGCTTCTCATGTAATTATAAACTAATCACTCCATCTTCTTTAAAATTTCAAATTATTACACAAACATAAATGGGTTTAATCATTTATTCTTGTCTTTAATTAGGTTGCTGGAGGATGTTGGTATGTTCTTGCTATTCAACGTGCCGCTTCATGCCTAAGGCAGCAGTGTGATAGAAGACCAAAGTGTGATCTCTCTTTGTCTTGCTCAGAGGAGATATGTTATCAGTTTCTGGTAAACACAGACACAATTGGGAATCCATGTGTTGGTAACTCTACCACTACAGTGAGAAAGCCTATGTGCTTGGATATGTCTGGACCATTCAACTATGGAATTTACAAGACAGCTCTTCCTGTCATTTCTAGCAATTCTTTGGCGGTCAAGATTCTTTACCCTATTTTCTGGGGCTTAATGACCCTCAGGTGATTCATTCATGATCACTGGACTATTACTCTAAAGGCATTTTAGCAGTTTTTTGGTTTTGAAGAGCTAATAATTTTGTGTTTGAATTTATTTGCAGTACCTTTGGGAATGATCTCGATCCAACTAGTAACTGGCTAGAAGTGGTATTCAGTATATGTATTGTGCTTAGTGGTTTAATGCTCTTTACTTTGTTGATTGGGAATATTCAGGTGGGCTTTCCATTTCTTGAATGCTAATAGTTAATTTTTAAAATTTGGTAAGTTCAATTCATTCAAATTCAATTGATGGATATATATATGTGTGTGTGTGTGCAATGAAGGTGTTTCTGCATGCTGTCATGGCAAAGAAGAGGAAAATGCAGCTAAGATGTAGAGACATGGAATGGTGGATGAGGCGGAGACAGTTACCGTCTCGATTGAGGCAAAGAGTTCGCCATTTCGAACGCCAAAGATGGGCAGCCATGGGAGGGGAAGACGAGTTGGAACTAGTCAAAGACTTACCTGAAGGACTCAGAAGAGATATCAAACGCTATCTTTGCTTAGACCTTATAAAAAAGGTAATATACATAATTAACATATAGCAAGAATCAGTACCAAACCCATTTCTGAAACAAAACTGTAATGTGCATCTTAGGTTCCTTTGTTCCACAACTTGGATGATCTTATTCTTGACAACATATGCGATAGAGTTAGGCCTCTTGTATTCTCTAAAGATGAAAAGGTACGAATTGACCTCAATTCAATTTCGATTGTTCATTTACCAAATTGGTTTTTACAGTATTTATATCCTTGTAAAGCAGATAATAAGAGAAGGAGATCCAGTACAAAGAATGGTGTTCATTGTTCGTGGTCGAATAAAGAGAAGTCAAAGTCTTAGCAAAGGCATGTTAGCAACAAGTGTGCTTGAACCAGGAGGCTTTCTAGGCGATGAACTATTATCTTGGTGCCTTCGTCGCCCGTTCATGGACCGGCTTCCAGCGTCGTCAGCTACATTTGTTTGCATAGAATCAACAGAAGCATTCGGCCTTGATGCAAATCATCTTCGTTATATAACAGACCACTTCCGTTACAAATTTGCCAACGAAAGGCTTAAGCGAACAGCTAGATATTACTCGTCGAATTGGCGAACATGGGCAGCAGTTAATTTACAATTTGCTTGGCGAAGGTATAGGACTAGGACTAGAGGTCCTGTTATTACTCCAACAGATAATGGAAGCTCTGACCGGAGGCTATTGCAGTACGCTGCAATGTTCATGTCAATTAGACCACATGATCACCTTGAGTAGAATTATGTTTAGCATTCATCTTCCGTTGTCTTCCATTGTTTAATAGAGTCAATCTTGTTTGTTTAGGGAGAAAAATTTCTCCATAGCAAGCCATGGAATAAGTAGACTTTCTTTTTTGTATAATTATTATTAGCATTAAGGGGAAATAAGATTTTTTTTTTTTTGTCACAAGGTAATAAAGATAAATTTTTAGTTAATGGGCTGCTATTGAAAAACCACTGTGAAAATAATTTTAATCTTCCTGTTATAACTATTTTTGCTTGGTAGAGTAAGAAGAGAGAAACATGGAGTTTTATTTTAGAGGTAATGCCCTATTTGCCTAAGAATTAAGGGCTGAGAAATGAAAGGGAGGCAAATTAAAGCTTGCCCCAAATTTAGCATATACATCATCCAAATCCTATACCATCTTTCATCACTTTGCACCAAAAAGAACATGGGGTTTGTCATCACCTCCTGGCCCCCCTAACACAATTCCATTTTGCAGTAGCTATTTCTGGGGCTTTAACATCAAGGATTAAGGTTTTATAGAAATCGCTTCAATTCAAATAAACTTAGATTAGTACCTTAATGTTCAAGTCAGGTAGGTTTATATACATTCATGCACCTAAGTTCATATTCCAATCTCATTTCATTTGCTTTTTTTTTATATATATACTTTATCAATCATATTCAAGCAGGAATCTAAAATTTGAACGGCCAAAATGGGTTCGAAGCTTGCAAAGCAGGGGCTAGAAAAGGCCGGGAACACAAATTTACAGCAAGCTCACTATTCATTGATAAATTATCTCACAAAAAGTATTTTTCTTCGAAACCTGGTCTCGCAGCATCGAAGAAGAATGCTTGTTGCTGGATATGATCTTGACATGTCATATATTACAGATAGAGTATTAGCAATGTCGTTTCCTGCAGAAAGGATGCGAGCAATGTATCGAAATCCTCTTTGGCAAGTGAAAAATGTGCTGGACATGAGACATGGGGGGCATTACAAGGTGTTTGTTTCAACTATATCATTTTTGCTATAAATTCAAATATCTAAACAAAATGTGAAAAAGAAATGGATTATTTTATTTTGCAGGTCTATAATTTATGCATTGAGCAATCTTATGATCCAGAACATTTCCATGGTCGTGTTGAGTCGTATCCTTTTGATGACAACCATGTCCCGCCTTTGGAAATGGTTAAGCAATTTTGCGAAAGCGTTAATTCTTGGCTATCACAAGACCCTAAAAACATTGCAGTTGTACACTGCATGGTACAAATAGCAATTGCTTGATCTAGCAACTTCACATTTATATGATCTTCACGTATTAAATTTTGTGTTGTTCTGTATTAAACTTTGCAGGCAGGTAAAGGTCGAACGGGATTAATGGTATCTTCATACCTTGTTTATAGTGGCATGGTAGTAGAGGAGGCTCTTCAATTGTATGCAAATAAACGGACTACAAACAATCAAGGAGTATGCATCAATTACTAAGATCAACATTTTATTGAACAGACAAATATGTTCTAATTATGTTAGAAAATTCTTTTTCCAGGTCTCAATCCCGAGCCAACGCCGATACGTGGGGTATTGGGGAAGTGTTCTTGCTTTTCCAAATGGAATTGGTAATGGACCTCCTAAAGTGAGCTTGCCTCAACCTTGTAGCAGAGAACTACGAAGAATTCGCCTCTATGACACAGTAAATACTGACTCAATCTTCTTTGTAGTGTCAGAGTTACAGGAGGTAATTAAATACTGGACCACTGAACTATTATTCATTTATTCAGGTTTTAATAATAATGAAGCTTATTGTTACTTGACAGATCTCCGGACAGGTATACCGGCCACCAGGAGAAGTTGCAAAAGGTTATTGCAAACCTATTAGTGAAGGATATCAAAGAAATTATAGTCCTCGCTACTACATCTCCTTCATTGAAGGTGATGAAGAAGGAAAAAGGTCTCAAGCTGAAGAACCTCATGTTGTTGTTCAAATGGACACAGAACGTCCCATAATTGATCGAAAGAATTGTCTTGACTTCTATTTCAATACCCCAGTACAGGTTAAAGGAGATATACGTGTCATTTTCTATCAGAAGATGATTGGCGGTCGCCTTTTCTATGTCTGCTTCAACACTGCTTTCATAAAGAGTAGCTTACTGCAGGTAAATTTTCAGTTCTTGATGTCCTGCATTACGAGACAGTGTTATGGCGATTTTTTGATTTTTGATATCAAAGAGTACGAAACAGACACTTGATTATTCTTAAGACTAATGTTTGTTTACATAAAATTGCAGTTCTCAGTAAAGGAATTGGATAAAATTGGGAAGAAAGGCGAATCAATATGTGGTTCTACCTTCTGTTTGGAGTTGCTTTTTGGTCCAGCTAATTCAAAGTCTACTTGCTTTCCTTCGGATGATGATAATGATGATATCAACGATGATTGCTTCTAAAATCTTTTTTTTTTCTTTTCCTTTTCTTTCTGAGTCAGATTCCTGCAAAAATATACATATACAACGTTGGCACCTCCTTCCCTTTTCTGCCATTGTCTAGTTCTGCATAGATAGTGGTTTTTTTAGGAAGAAGATGAAGTTTTGTATTTTAGGTTGCAGAGTGGATCATATTCATATGTGCTTCAAATTTGGATTTCTATTTAAAATATGATATATCTATTACCAAAGCCCACAGATAGATAAAGATTTGAGTCTTATAAAACCAACCCACAAAAATAATAATACTAGTGGGCCCAATTTAACGACCATACCACCAAGTATTTCGATTCACCGACAGACTCAACGGGTCGAAATAATTCTGTAACCATACAACTCTTATACTTAAAAAAACTCGAATCTGAAACCTCTTACTCTTTGTATTGATTATGCTAGTAAGTATTTGGTGAGTTATAATGAAATGTAAGGTATTTTTAAAAATACACATATAATTGCATTATATTATATTTCATTAGAAGTTTATATGTCAAGTAGAAAAACCTTCTTAATATTATAATTTTTATTATACAAAATGTTTCCCTTTTAAACAATTTTTTTTAATCCTTTATTTCATTTTCAGCTAAAAGGTTTATTTCAAAGGAAATGGAAAAAAAGACTTAATGCTCTTTTGGAGTCCGGAAATATGAAATCCATTGATGTCCTAAATTTAAAAGAATCCATAAAATTTTACATTTTCTCTTTTAATTAAAAAGTAAAATTTATAGTTTTGAAAGATTTTTTTATAATTAAATTAAATCAATTTGAATTTCATAATTATTAAAAAATGATGGAATTAAGAAATTTCATATATGATATAATATTTTTTTACTCTTGTAAAATAACGAAATTAATATCATGTTAAAATTTATTAGTTCCATGGATTGTCATGGTTTTGCCTCGTGGAAGACTGTGTTTTATCACCGTGAGAAATTGCTCAAATGGTAAGATGCATTTGAATTCAGTGATAATTTTTGCTAAGTTAAAGGGTCCGATATGTGAAAAAAACACTCATAGGGATACAAAATCATAAACTCGAAACAATGATTGTCTTATACCAAAATAAAGTAGGAATACTCATAACAATACAAAAAAAAAAAGTGTACAGTTCCTAATCTTTGTGTAAGTAGATTTTGTGCTTATCTATTTAACTAAAAAAAAAAAAAATTCAATACATACTGAGGTATATATAACCTAATAATAAATGCATATGCTAATAAGCCAACTGTATAGATAAGGCTTAGTAGTTGCATTCTGTTATAATTTGATATGTATTTTGCTGTGCTTTCATTTATCTCTTGTAATAGAATTACAGAGAGATAGTTGTGTATAAATATTAAACATAATGGAACAGTAAAGTATCTTTCTGCTTCCTATCTTTGTGCCACACTTTTATGGTATCAGAGCCAAAAACCTATTAGGTTTTTATTTTCGATCTCCACTTATTTTTCTCTTCAATGGCTACTCCCACTATATCTTATTCTCTTCAATGGCTTCCCTCTTCAAGACTTGCCACAATATTGTATCATTCCTCTGCAAGAACACTTGTGTCCTTTAATTAACACAAATTTCCTCTTGGAAATGACTCAGCCAAAATATACCTCTATCCTGGTCTGATGTTCAAGTCATGCCTGTTTTCAAGGGTTATACATATCTCGATGGGAGAACAACTAGCGTATGTTGACTGGTTCTTTCCCATGTCCTGCTCTGCAACATTACGTCAAGGCTGAATAAGGATGAGGTTAATAAGCGATCTATTGATTTTTCTGGGGCTGTCTGTCAAGTTACTTCAATTAATCACTTGGCTGCCGATTATGCCATGCATCAACAACTTTCCAGCAATGCATCTTGTATCCTCTGCTTCCACATTCTTGCTGATGCATGTGTGGATGAAAATTTTGATTCTTGTGCCTAAACCGTAATGTCACACAACGGATATTATCCCCTTCGTGATTACACCTTTCTACTTTCAAAAGAGATCAAGACCTTGTGGCTGAGTATTAGTTACAGACTGTAGGCCATCTCTGAAGATCCTTTCTTTGTCTAGAAAGTCCAGTTTCTGATTATGCATCTGGTCCACTCACATGTATTGATTGGAGCTTGGACTCAGAAATTCCGTGAATATTTCAGTAGCGGTAAGAGCTCGTGATTCTGTTATCTCTTTCGTAAGTTAAGCAGGAATTAAAATAATGCCTCATGAACTTTATTGAAGAAAAATTTATTCTTCATATGTTAACAACGCAGATCACTCGCAAATAATGTGTTACGGCGAGGGCCATACTCTAGACAAGAGTGGTTCAAACATTTTCACAGGGCTTTTATAGCAATGACAGGTTGCTACTTTCAGGTATGTGCTCGGTTCTTGACTTGAGACAAATTCACGATCCTTACAAAGGGACCTGGTAATTGCAAAAATCTTATCGTCACAAATTTGTGAACGGCCTGGTTCACATTTGTGGCTCCAAAATACCTTAATGCTTTTCGCGAGGAAAAGATTTTTTCTACGGCCTGGTCACATTGCCAAACAATGCTTTCGAGCAAAAGATTTTTTCAAGGATCATTTTCCACAACCAAAGGCAAACAATGTTGTTGCCAATGATAGACAAAGCTAGGTCATGGATACAGGAGCTACGCATCATGTCACTAATGATTTGCAAAATCTCTCACTTCATGCTCCCTACGAAGGTCTTGATGAACTTCATTTAACAGATGGTACAGGTTTGAGAATTACACATGTTGGGTCTAAATCATTATCTTTTCCTTCGAAAACTTGTTTCTTAACTGAAGTTATATGTGTTCCTCGTTCAAAAGAGAATTTAATTTCTGTCTCTGCTTTTTGTCTAGCCAATAATGTTTCAATTGAATTCTTTTTTGATTGTTTCCTTGTCAAGGATCTGTCCACGGGGGAGATAATCACAAAGGGATGCATTAAGGATTCTCTGTATCGTCTCTCATCCATTTCGAAAGGTCGATCATGTCTCTCATCCATTTCGAAAGGTCGATCATCGTTTCCATTTGTAGCTCAGTCTTCTGTTCGTGAGTCTTCTTTTGTTTGGCATCAGCGTCTTGGTCATCCAGCTACCAGAATTAGTCGTTATGTTTTGTCTCAATTTCGTTTATCTGAGTCATTTAACAGCGTTGATTGTCATTCCTGTTTATGTAATAAAAGTCACAGACTTGCCTTTGGTGTTTCATCGCTTAAAAGTTCAAAACCATTTCATCGCTTAAAAGTTCAGAAAACCATTAGAATTGTTTAATATTCTGATTTTGTGGAGGTGACCGTACCCCTGCTGCAATCCTTTTTATGGATTTAAGTATTTATTTGATTTTTGTCGACCATTTTTCCAAAGTTAATATTTGGTTTTATCCTCTTAAGGCTAAAATCGCGCTGTTCCTTCAAATAATATTATCTTAGCTTTCCCAAAGCTTTTGTTTTGAAACAATATGTTATTGCACAAACATGATATCTATTTATACAGATTGGGGGGGGGGGATGAGCACGATTTGAAACGGTGGAGTTATTTAATCAAAATTTGCAAAACAAGATAATTACAGGTATGATTCGGCGTCGCAAGGAATAGGAGTTTTAATTGATATAAGTATGTTATTTAATATAGTATATTGTTAAAACAAGGGCGAGTGTGGCACCCGCCAAGGAAGTCATTAAACCAGGGTAAGGCGAAATCGAGCGGGGTTTTCTGGTTAATTGATGCACGTATACGTGATGGGTATAGAGGATCTACTACGTCTATGCGAGACTCGATGTATTAGAGCGGATTAGGAGACTAAACAAACGATAATGAGAAGCGTAAAATAACGCAAACTGGCACAGGGCGCTCCGCAGCGATACCACACAGGCAAATTTATTTTGGCCAGCAATGGTAACCGCCTGCAGCAGCCATAGAGACTTACGAGGTGCCGGGTAGTCAGAAGCTACGCACTAGGTGAGACCGCGACCACGGCCCCACGCATAACTCCATCAAATGGACCCCATCTAAGATACGCAGCCGAGCTGAAGCAGCCCGAAAGATGGCCGCTACCCCATCCAAAAGCGAGGACGGAGGCGCTCACAAGAATGAGCAGTGGGTGAGAGATGACAAAGTCAAGATGCAAGAGAAACACTAGCACAACGACCAGGAATGGCACACGAGCAGTGACTGAGATCAGTACAAGAAACCCAATGAACAGGAATGCTCAAGAGACCAACACGACGAGCGAAGGAGATACAGGTGGAGCGTGTGATATAAAAGGAAGGGAAGGAGATGAATGCATGGAATGAATTAATTCTATTGGACGTACGCAAACGGAGATCGACGAGGAGGAGCAGTAAATGGAGCGCCAACAAATCAGCGGGGGGGGGGGGAGAGTATATTGCCTTAAGGAAAATGTTTCAAAACCATGGAATTTCTCATTTACAAACGCCTCCTCATACACCTCAGCATAATGGAGCTGCTGAGCGTCGTCATAGGCATGTAGTAGAAACTGGATTAACATTGTTGCAGTCCGCTTCTTTATCATTTGAATTTTGGACTTATGCTTTTCAAGTTGCTGTTTATCTCATAAATAGGCTGCCAACACCAGTGCTTAACATGTCTTCTCCTTTCTTTAAGCTTTTTCAATAGCAACCTAATTATACTAAGCTTAGAATATTTGGCTGCCTCTGTTACCTGTATTTAAGGCCATATACTCGCAATAAATTTGAAGCTAAATCACAACTGTAACGCCCTGATTTTTCTGTGTCTAAAATAATAGTTTTACCGGTCTGTGAATAGTTATTCTCTACACCAAAGTGCTTACCTCTGTTATGAACCACAAAGTCAGAAAGTTTATGTGTCTCGGCATGTTGTTTTTGTTGAAGGGAAATTTCCAGGTGAGCAATTTAAGAAGGCGAGTTTAGATATCAATACTTGGTATAATGTTCATGGGTCTTCTGTTGCTATTGACAATGAGAATTCTAGGTTTATAGGTGATAAAACGGAAGGGTCAGACGGTTCTAATTTTATCCCTTTCCATACGGCAGCATTTCAGCCTAGGGTTTCAAATGAAATATCACTTCAAAATTCCTCTGCTTCATCGTTCTCTAGTCCCTCAGTGTCTATTTCGACAAATTTGCCATTAGTCCAAACTGCGTCTTCGTTATCTCCTTCTTCTATTGAGTCCACAGAATCAATCTGCATTAGTTCCAG